AGAAACAACAGGGCGGATGGATTCACGGCCGGATGTAGGCGAGCTTGTCGACGTGGGTGTGGTAGCCTTGGGCATGCCATCGTCCGCCTTTTCTTCGGCCACAGTGTCTGGTGATGCGTTGGTTGGGGGTATAACTTGGGTTGAGCACGAGGCAACGTGGGGTGCAACGACGGGGATCGACTTGCCCCGTGTGAGAAAATCTAGCGCTGAGACTCCAGGGGGGTCTAACTCCTCTGGAATGGCCATCAGGGGGTATGGCGAAAGTGGAAAACTGCACTGCGGGGCCCGTCGAGTGCAGCGGAAGAAAAGGATGTAGAAGATGGACGGTGTGCCCCCAGCCTGGTCCCTCAAACCCTCGTCCCGTAGCGCGGCAGAGTGATACGCGGTGCGAGTGTGGGCGGGGAACCACAGTTACGTGCATCCGCGATGCATACAGGTCACCCCATCGCACAAAAGGACAGTGTCGGTGCCTGGGTGTAGCTGGCATCGGCGCCGACACCCACGCAGCGACAAAGTGCTGGCAGCATCTGACATGGTTAACTGCTGCCAGCGGTGCTGTTTCCTCCAGCGCGGATGCTACGGGACAGAAGCATTCATTACGCATGCATGTATAGATGCTGGCAGATACCCTAACTAGTGGCCCTATGGACAAGTGGGCACAAATGTCGGTTTCAGACGGAATCGTACTCGTTATCTGGATTCTCAGATGAAGAATAGTATGCGATCTGAAAATTTATCTCAAGTAAAATCATTTGTCTTACTGATCATCTGAAAATAAAATCACAGTCTTACAGATCATCTGAAATAAGAAAATGAAGTCTGAAACGCAGACCATCAGACCAAATTGGTCTGATAACGAGGGCCCTGCTAGGGCGCTGGCGGGCCTGCTGGCTAGCGAGCTTAGGGCAGACGGCGGGGGGGGGGGGGGGGTTCACGCCAAGGCTAATGACGGCCGAAGTCTAGGAACGGCGGAGACTAAGTGTGGCCTAGGAACGGCGAACCTACTGCTGATACCATCTCAGAAACTAAACACAGCGGAATGAGTTGGATTGATTGGGTTGGGGTACAAATGCCTAACCCTAACTGTTTGTTCCCCATATAGCATGACCCACTAGAGGCTATAACACTTGACATAAACTCATTCTAAATAACAAAGCAACACGATGATATGATAAAGAGAACATCAGAACCACTATGTACGAACAGTAATGCAGGGAACCATAGAGATGGCTAGTGCCCATCCACACCACTTACGGTATACGAAGTTCACAAATATCATCATTGCATTGAACAAAACCAGTCTAGCATCTCCAAACATCCTGGCACCCTCTTGCTCCATCCACTCACCTCTTTCCCCCAAGTGATCCGTTTCCCAGCAGTCTACCATCAACACATGCACTCTCCAGGTTTGGAATGTGGGAGATGGTTTCATTATCATCCTCAAAGCTTGGGCATGCCATGATCACGAGAGTCTTGAGGCTGGTGAGGGTGGTGATAGCCCTGGGCAAGGAGACCAGGTTGGCCCACGAACTTAAAGTCAGCCGCTGCAACTGTGAAAGCTTCCCGATCTCTTTCGATAACAAACCTAGGTCGGGGAAACCAAAAAGTACGAGTGCTGACAGATTTACGAGCTGGCAAGCATATAACACGAAGGCTTCTTGACCCTCTATGTTGGATATGCAGCTGGCTGGCCAACCGAACTCAAGAGACTTGAGGCTGCTCCAATACCAAGCCAAGGATGGAGAGATTATGTTGATGTTGCTGCAGTAGTTGGAGGAGAAGGTGCGGAGACTGGAGAGGCTAGAAATGGAATCCGGATAACTGGTAAGGCTTTTGAGTTGGCATAACACGAGATGTTCCAGAGATGACAGGTGATTCATTCTCTGTGGAAGATCCCTCAGCCGGGGGCATGCTTTGACAACCAAGAAACGAAGGTTAGAAAGATAGCAGAGAGAGTTAGGAAGCGAAGTAAACCACTGGCAATTCTTGATGGTTAGCACCGTGAGGGAAACCAGGCCTGACACTACGCCGGGAAGCCGACGGAGACGCTCACATTTCGTGAGCTCAAGAACTCGGAGAGAAGTCAGTTGGAAGAAATAATCTGGGAGATCGGAAAGGCGAGAATTGGTACGTGAGTAAAACTCTTGGAGGTTCGGGAGCTGGCCGGTGGTGTCAGGGAGATCGTTTAAACTTTTCAGTTCAATGAGGCTGAGTTTGATCAATGACCTCAAGCCACTTAGAGAGTCTGGGAATAGGAAAAAGTTCGGCATATTGCTTACCTCTAGATCAGTCAGTTCAGTGAGCTGGCCAAACGACTCGGGAAGGGAGAAAATATGCAGATTGGCGAATTTCACCTTGGTCAGGGACCCTAGTTTGTCAAATCTATCAGGAAGACGTAAAACGTCCAAGCTCAGATTAACTTCCGTCAAAGATGAAAGGCTGAAGAAGGATGGTGGCAAATCATAGGTGTAGTCAACGGAAACTGTCCTCATGTTCAGGGAGAGGTAATGCAACGCAGTGCATGCTGCGAAGAGGGCATCTAAGCCGTCATACGTCAACCCGTTTTCAAACCCGTTGCTCAGGTCTAGATGAGTCAAAAGGGGACACACGGATCCTAGGGCATGGATGAACTCGTCACTATTCTGATCGATAACGCACTTGTTGATCGTGAGAGAAGTCAGTCCTTTAAACCGGGAAAGAGTATTTAGAAGGCCAGCATCTACAGTAAGGCAAGGCCCACTGTTGGCGATGGACGTCTCTGTAAGGTAAGCTAGGCGATTCCAACGTTTACATACCAAAGCGTGATCAAAGTGGCTGGGTGACTGCTTGTTCAGACAACGGAAGACGGAGCAGATGACGTCGTCCGGCAGCCGATCTAACGATCGCGACTTGAATCTACGGCAACGCGTGCGTCGGGTTTGCTTCAATTGAAGTCTTCCAACTCGAAACATTATCCATGCGTTTCTGCTAATTACGGTAAGGAGTGGTTAGCCTCAGTAGAAATCTCAAAAGGTGGAAACCAGCAGGAGCTTGTTTTGTGTGAACGATGTTAGAGTTAGCTCAATGACTCATGTAAGGGCTCTCAGACTTGAGTAGAGTGTGTCCTAGAGTGTTGTCCTTCGCATTGGTTTCGCTGTCTCGGAAGAATTCGAAATGATGTTTTGGAACGCAGGTGCAGGGTCCGACGCTTGGTGCAACGTTTGTTACAGGCATACAGATGCTCATGGTTTGGTTAGTGGCAAAAAGTAACAAGGGACACCAGATTGCCTCGTGGAGCTTGCAAATCGTGTTGATAGCCGCCTATCCTATGGATGCCGTTGACGAACGCGCTGTACCTCGCTAGCCGGTACTTTCTTTTGACACCTGCGAGTCAGTTCTGCAAGGTTGGTTCGTCAGCGAAGTCTGATACTGTGTGGCTAGAACAATCCCTGAAGCAGCTGCTCTGCTTTGCAGGCGGAACCCTATCGCATCACTAAACAGAATGACGGAACCAGCCGTGTCGGAATGCAACAGCCCCAGAACCCTAAACAGAATCGAACGGAAGCAAAACTTGGTGTCAGCCTTCACCGCTCAAAACTTTCTCGCCATCTTTGCGGCGACTGCTTCGTCCTTAGCTCGTAGCACCTTCTGCGGGTGTCGCTGCCCCAAAATCCAAAAAGCTCATGGCGCCAGACGCCTTTACTCCGATCAGTTTGTCATTATAAGCGCGTCTCCAGGCGTTGGTGGGTCAGCACAGTGTCGTGAGCCGTGCTAGAAGTTATATTACTTGTAGTCACCGTGCCCTCTCTCGCCGCCACTCGCGGATTACATGCTCCATCGTACGCGCCGACTTTCCCCGTGTGTAACGTATTACCCTAACTACCGAGCTAACAACCATCGATCTCTCTCTAAGTCAATTGTTGAGAACTTCTCTCGACAAAGGAAGAGTTGGAGAAGATGGTTGAGTTGGTTGGGATGAAACTTGGTTTGGGTTTGCCAAGCCTAAACTTTGGAGGTTTGGAACATTTCCAACTCAACCAAGAGAATGTTGAAGGTTGGAATTCCAACCAATCAGAAACTGCCAAACAAGTGTTACAATCTACTCTATCCTAAACACAACCATTGAATGGTTCTAAGTTGGGTTTTTCCAACCCAACACAATTGCCACATAGGCTCCAAGCCTAGGAACCATCCCACCATGGAAACCATGGTTGGGATAGTTCCCCAAGGGGTGTATTGAGGGGGTCTGATCTAAGCAAGCTGATTCTCAACCTCCCACTCCAACTAAACAATTGGAAATGGGGTTTTTTTGCCTAAGTCATTGAGAGCTCTCTCACGAGCCTTCCTACACAATTCTCTCAAGCCTTTTCAACAACTCCTTCAAGAAGACTGACACCTCCAAGGCTATTGGGAGCTAGTTAGAGCTTCAACTTATATTGAGATTTATTATAAAAGCATTGTAACTCCATTATAATAGCCTTGGGTGTTACATTGGTATCTAGAGCAAGGTTCTTCCTTGGCCTTGTGTGGCCATTTGCTACTTGGATTATTTTTTTTAGAGGATCCTAGCTTGTGGATCTAGGATTCCAAGGAGCTATCAAGATCTTGAAGATATTGAAGAAATTTCAAGATCTACAAAACCATCTTCAAGATCTACATCTTCAACTTCGATTTCTTCAAACCACCATTGGAGCTACAAGATCTACAAGGAGCTCCCCTTCTTCATCAACATAGTGAAGAAATTTGAAGAGATTCATTTCTCTTACCCACCTTTGGTGGAAGACTCTAATCTACCTTTGGTAGAAGAGTGTATCTTCAGATCCACAAGGAATTGTTGAGGATTACTCTTTTGAGTATATCTTGCTCTATCATTGAGGTGATAGAGAGATTTAGCAAACAAGTCAATCTTAAGAGATTCTGTATTGGATTATTCTATAAGGGTAATCAGATTTCTTAAAGATTATTATAAGATCTGTTGAGATCTCCTCTCCTTAACCTGTTTCATGGCTTCTGGTCAAGAGATGGATGCTACTAAGGAGGTGCCCGTTGCTGGCAATGAGGGAGATAATGCTGCTGCTGCTGCTGACATTGATCTCAACCTTGAGGACTTTGTGGTTGACATGGAGATTAATGGAAGTGAAGCTGACCTTGAGGCTGATGCTGAAAATGAGGATGAGGCTGGCTCTGATGAGGGTGTTTCCAATGAGACTGAGAACATTGCTGTCAAGCTCCAGACTCAACTCACGGAGCAGAATATTCTCATTGGAGTGCAACAGTGCCGCATCCAGAACTTGGAGGCTGATTCTGTTAAGCTTCAGGCCTTGATTGAGCAGCTGACCAGGGAGGTGCAGTCGATCCCTAAGGAGAACGACACCTCCAGCTTCATTCAGGACCTGCAGACTACTCTCCAGTTCGTGCAGGATCAGCTCAACAAGCAAGAGAAACACATCTCTGTGCTTCAGGCCCAGTTAAGGGAGATCCGGCGTGGAAACCTCTACCAGCCTGCTCCTGCAGCAGAGCGAGTTGCCAACGCCGCTAACAGCCGGGCTGCACCTGCTGATGCTCCTTCTGCTGTTCCCCCTCCTACTGGAGCACGTGTTGAGCCTCCTACTGCAGCAGCAACTGCTTTTGGCTCCTGCCCTTCGGCCCTGCCTCATTTTATCCATGGCAAAACTGACGTTGAGACTTGGCTCTCCATTGTGGAGGACTTTATGTCCATCCACAATGTGCGTAGCGAGGCTCGCGTGGTCGCTGCGACCCTTGCCCTGGACGACACTGCGAGCAAGTTGGTGTATGCCAACAAGCGCCACGCAGAGGCTAATGGCCATCCTTTTGGCTGGGAGGAGTTCAAAGCTGCCATGCTAGCGGCATTCCTGAGTCAGCCCCTGGCGCTCGAGGTGCGTAGCCGCCTGGAGAACATCCAGTGCGGTGACCAGCCTGTACGCGAGTACGCCAAGGAGTTTGAGAAAACTCTGTCGCTGCTGAAGACTGCTCTTCCTGAGAGCGAGGTCATCCACCAGTTCTTCAAGGGACTCCCTGAGCACATCAAGCGTGTGCATGTTGTGCGTGGGGAGCACCAGTGGAGGACCTACAAGGAGTGCAAGGAGCAGGTCATTGACACGGATGTGAATTTCCGTGCGTACATGACTCACGCTCATGCTCAGCAGGTCATTGACACGGATGTGAATTTCCGTGCGTACATGACTCACGCTCATGCTCAGCAGCAGCCTAGTGCCGAAGGCCCTAGGGGGGGTGGTAACAGGACTCAGGCACACAGGGGCAGTGGCTCTTGGAAGAGGCCCTATCAGCAGAAGGGGGAATCCTCTGGGACTCAGTCCAAGAGGGCCCATGCTGGGCCTGCCAAGGATCCTCAGGATGAGGATAAGCCCCCGGCGGGCTGCCGCATCTGTGGCAAGCTCGGGCACAAGTCCTATCACTGCCGTTGGAGGAAGTCCGTCAAGAACTCCGGCAAGCCCAACCAGGGCAAGAAGCCGGATGGTTCTGGCCCTTCGGGCCCGAAGGATTTTCCGAAGTCCAACTAGGGGGTGGGTACCTAGTTGGTGAGCGAGATCGAGTAGATGAGGCTTATGTCCTTCGTGATGAGGATTTGCTAAAGCTAGAGAAGCTTGCATCATGCAAAATCGCTTGTTTGTATGCCTCTTCTATTAATGAAAAATCTGTTTTTAAAACTCGATCGTACCCACTTGAAAACATTTCAATTGAATTTTTGAGAGATAAATTTTCAATCATCTCTTGCTCGTTCAAAGAGTTGCCAGCAATCATGGATATTGTGGACCGTTGTGTCCAAGAGCATCCGCTCACGTCAGTGGGATTGGTGACTCGAATCGTGAAAGGAGAGTTGTTCCGCCGATTTCATGAATGGCATATCCTGGCAACATGGGACAAAGGGCACCATGTTTGGTGGACCACATCCCAAAGGTTTGGACGTGCTCACAACAAATTTAGGGTGTACTATCGACCTCCTAAACTTGTTGTCGCTTGTCCCATCCGTCCAAGATTCCAACAGAATCTACTGTTATCTGGACGCATGAATGGAGACGAAGCAAGGATTCTCGTCGATACAGGCGCGTCGGTCTCCCTTGTTGATGAAACTTGGGTTACGACACGCAACGTCCTCGTTGTAGGACCGTCATGTCCCATCCGCTTGGGTGACGATCGTGTCATTCCAAGTAAAGGACAGACACATATCGACATGAATGTACAGGACTATAGCGAAGCAGTTCGCGTGTATGTCCTACCACTTTTGTCAGGTGTCGACCTCATCCTGGGCATGGATTGGTTCCGAGCCAACGAAGTCATTCTGGACTTCCAGTACAACATTGTCTCGTTCAACAAGAACGGAAAGGCAATCCAGTGGCAAGTCAATGATACTTTGCCCACTGAAACACAGACGCCTGAACGTCCCAGCGTGCTGTGTGTGTTGGCCAACCAGTTCGGGCATTCTGTTAAGTCGGCTGATACACTGTTCGTGGTACAGCTTGAGAATGCTGAGGCCTCGGAGCCAGCAATTGAGAATTTCCCTCCTCAGATGCAAATTCTGGCAGAGGAATTTAAGGAAGTGTTTGAAACCATCCCTGATGGACTTCCGCCTGACCGCGCAGTGGGTCACACCATCCCTGTTGAACCAGGAAAGGTTCCACCCTTTCGACCTCTGTATCGCCTCAGTCCAGCTGAGTACGAAGAGGCCAAACAACAGATCGAAGAATACCTCAGAAAAGGATGGATTGAACCCAGTGCATCCCCTTACGGAGCACCAACTTTGTTTGTTAACAAGAAGGGCGGAGGATTACGCATGTGCGTAGATTATCGTGCCTTGAACAAGATTACAGTGAAGAACAGATACCCTCTACCACGAATTGAGGATCTGTTCGATCGGCTCCAAGGAGCTCAGTGGTTCAGTGCGCTGGACTTAGCTCAGGGGTATCATCAGCTACGAATCACCGAAGAAGATGTTCCAAAAACGGCTTTCAGAACGCCGTTCGGACATTTTCAGTGGCGTGTGTTAAGTTTTGGCTTGACAAATGCTCCCGCGTCATTTCAGCGAGCAATGAATGATGTGTTTCGGGAAGCAATTGGCCAATTTGTCCTGGTATACTTGGATGACATCCTCGTGTACTCTAAGACTGAAGAAGAACACACGCAACACCTGAAATGGGTGTTAGGAAAACTGCGAGAGCATAAATTCTTTGCTCGATTGTGGAAGTGTCACTTCTACAAACGCGAGTTGGAATACCTTGGTCACTTGGTAAGCAGCGATGGCCTCAAAGTCGATCCAAAGAAAGTGGCGGCAGTCCAACAGTGGCCCGTTCCACAGGACGTGGGACAGGTCAGATCATTTCTTGGACTTGCGAACTATTTTCGCCGTTTCTTGGAAAATTATTCCTCCGTAGTCGCTCCACTGACTGCCCTTACTCGTAAGGGTAATGCTTGGCAGTGGACCGATCAATGCCAGAAGGCATTTGAGGAGGTGAAAACCATGCTGACCAATGCTCCAGTGCTGGCTTTGCCAGACCCGTCCAAGCCCTACGAGGTGGTAACTGATGCCTCGACAGTAGGGATTGGAGCAGTTCTTTTGCAAGAAGGACGCCCCGTGGCATTTGAGAGTAGAAAGCTTTCACCAGCTGAACAGCGCTATACAACTTCCGAACAAGAATTGTTGGCAGTTGTGCATGCGCTACGAACATGGAGATGTTATCTCGAAGGTGTTGACTTTGTGGTCACGACCGACCACTGTCCGAACACCTATTTTGCCACTCAAGCCACACTCACCCGTCGTCAAGCTCGATGGGCTGAACTCCTTAGTGGGTTCACCTATGATATTCGATATCGAGCGGGCTCGACGAACATGGCTGATCCTCTGAGCAGACAGCCGATTGGTGCAGCAACGGGTGTTGATAATACTGAACATGAAGCAGTGTTTGCTGCTTGTTTCAACATCCTCGCAGCTGCTCGAGTGAGTGAGATTGCCTTTGGTGGTTTTCTTAAACGCGTTCGCGCAGGGTATGATATTGACCCTTGGTTTCGGAACCCACAGAATACAAAGGATCTCTTGTGGGAGCATGAGCTCTGGTGGCACAAGAAAGAAATTGTTGTCCCACATGTGGGAAACCTGCGGAATGATATTCTAGCAGAGGTGCACGCCACTAAGTATGGACGACACCTGGGTGTTAAGAAAACCGGGTGGGCCCTCAGTGATGTATACTCGTGGCCGGGATTGGGCATTGAGGTCCAGCATTTTGTAACTCGCTGTGACACGTGTGCGCGGCACAAGCCAAGCACACAGAAGCCTGGTGGTTTGCTTCAACCACTCGAGATTCCCGATGAACCTTGGGAGAGTGTATCGATGGATTTTATCACCGATCTCCCCAAGACGCGAGATGGTCATACAGCGATACTAGTGTTTGTAGATTGCTTGACCAAAATGGTGCACTTCGTGCCCACGACGACTGACGTGTCCGCAGAGGATACTGCAAAGTTGTTCGTGACGCACGTTTTCCGCTTACACGGTTTGCCTCGTGTGATGGTGTCTGACCGAGACCCGCGCTTCACAAGCCGGTTCTGGCAAGAGGTCATTAAGACACTCGGAACGAAACTCAAGATGTCGTCTGCGTTCCACCCGCAAACGGATGGACAGACAGAGCGGACCAACCGCACTCTTGAGCAAATGCTTCGTTCTTTCATAAGCCCAACTCAGGACGATTGGGATGAATTGTTGCCAGTCGTGGAATTCGCTGTAAACAATTCTGTGCATAAAAGCACCCATGAGAAACCCTTTGTCCTGAACTGTGGTCGGCACCCCACAACCCCCGCGTCGCATGGGATTAAGAACCTCACAATCCCTGCCGCAAAGGACTTCATTGGAAATCAGCAAGCGGCATTGAAGTCCGCTCGCCATTGGCTGCAGCTTGCCCAACAGAGGCAAAAGTCCTATGCCGACATGAAACGCCGGGAAGTCGTTTTTGCAGTTGGCGACAAAGTATTACTGAGTACGAAGAACATTCGTCTCAAGATCCCGGGAGCACGAAAGCTTTTCCCTCGTTGCATTGGGCCCTTCAAGGTGATCGCGCGTGTTGGTGAGGTCGCATATAGGCTCAAATTGCCTGCGACATTGCAGATTCACAACGTCTTCCACGTGTCTCTGTTGAATAAGTACGTTGCAGAAGGCAAGTACTTACCGCCACCAACCATCGCTCTCGAGGAGGAACTCTTTTACGAAGTCGAGCGTGTGCTAACGCACCGTGATCGACAACGCGGCCGCAAAACTGTTCGTGAGTTCCTAATTTAGTGGAAAGGCTATGGGCCGGAACACAACTCTTGGGAGCCTGAGGAACACTTGACCGAAGCAGCGGTTCAAGCGTATATGGAAGACCTGGCTCTACGAGCAGGCCCACAACCAGTGGACGGGGTTGACCCTGGTCGTAATGTGGTGCGCCGTGCTCGAAGCACTCGTTCTCAGAAGCACCCTAAGGCAACGGGGACGTTGCCACCTGGGGGGGGAGGAGTGTAACGTATTACCCTAACTACCGAGCTAACAACCATCGATCTCTCTCTAAGTCAATTGTTGAGAACTTCTCTCGACAAAGGAAGAGTTGGAGAAGATGGTTGAGTTGGTTGGGATGAAACTTGGTTTGGGTTTGCCAAGCCTCAACTTTGGAGGTTTGGAACATTTCCAACTCAACCAAGAGAATGTTGAAGGTTGGAATTCCAACCAATCAGAAACTGCCAAACAAGTGTTACAATCTACTCTATCCTAAATACAACCATTGAATGGTTCTAAGTTGGGTTTTTCCAACCCAACACAATTGCCACATAGGCTCCAAGCCTAGGAACCATCCCACCATGGAAACCATGGTTGGGATAGTTCCCCAAGGGGTGTATTGAGGGGGTCTGAGCTAAGCAAGCTGATTCTCAACCTCCCACTCCAACTAAACAATTGGAAATGGGATTGTTTTGCCTAAGTCATTGAGAGCTCTCTCACGAGCCTTCCTACACAATTCTCTCAAGCCTTTTCAACAACTCCTTCAAGAAGACTGACACCTCCAAGGCTATTGGGAGCTAGTTAGAGCTTCAACTTATATTGAGATTTATTATAAAAGCATTGTAACTCCATTATAATAGCCTTGGGTGTTACACCGTGCGACCATGCGCCGCGCGCAGCTATTCCCCGTGACCCTGAACCCGCACGCGCTCGCGGTGGCGCTGGTGCTGGCGGGGACGGCGGGGGTGGCAACTGGGAGGGTGACGGGGCGCGAGGGAGCAGGGGTTACGTGGCAATGGGGGGCTTATAGGGGAGACGCGCGGGCGGGTTTGAAACAGCAGGTTCTTGCTGCTGACCATGCTTCTGCTGACCGTGCTTCTGCTGACCGTGCTTCGGTTGGCAATGCTGCTGCTGGAAACGCTGCTGAGAACACACGCGAGGAAACAGCAGCGGCCAGCAGCACTGGCGGTTCTGATCGTGCCCTCCATCGGGTGCTAGCGGCAGGTAGTGCGGTCGAGGCAGCATCACCGTCACTACCGCTGCCGTCAACAGCACTGCCGTCACCCTTGCTGGAACGGCCGGTGCAGCCAGCCAACAGCCTCCCACCAGGTGACCTGTCACTCTGCCTCCCACCCAACCTCCTCTCCCTTCATCCATGCGTTCCTTGTCCCATTAGTGTCTAGCCGCCAGAGTGAAGTGGGCTGGGCTCTTAACGAGTTATTTGCGTGCAACAGTATACGAGCCAGGGGCAGCAGCAATGTAGTACGAGTTACAGAAGATTCTATGGGAGAGTGAATCACGATGGGGCTGTGAGCGTGCCGGGTGAGGTGAGCACTGAGCTGGGTGGAATGGGCATTGGGCAGGACGTGTGGCCCCTGGGCTGCTGATGCTCTGGGGTAGTCACGTCACCCCATCTTGGCAAGATGAGCATGACAGTGCCCATCACATTGGGTTCTGCACGGTATTCCTCAAGTAGGAGGCCAGGCCTCGCGGTCAGTCAGTACAGGTGTACATAGTTGCTGCACAATCGCACACACCTAGGCTTGGTACAGTACAATACGGCGACAAGGGTGTAGCTCTGGATAGGATAGCTTGCTCCCAGCGCAGTTGCGGGATGCCGAGAGGTCTCAGCAGTGCAAGGTGATGGAAGGCCCGGCTGGCAGGAGTGCGATGGTTGAAGGGTGGGAGGTGGAACCTCAGCAGTCCAAGGCACACAACACCTTGGACTCGCCTGTGGGGCCGTCCCAGGCGATGGAGTGTGAAGGAGATGAAGGAGTCATCGTCTAGAAGGCACAGTGGGCGGTACAAGGAAGGTGCTGCAACCATGTAGCTGCTCTGCTCTGCTGCACGCATCTGGAAGAGCTGGTCCCTTGCCTCGAGCAGCAACAGCTGGGGCCCGAGCAAGGGAGAGGGCATAATAGCGTGAGGGGTGGGAGGGTTAGCGGCGTCAGATATGAGGATTACCATGCACCAGCAAGGCCAGCAAGGCCTGCAAGGCCTCCCTAAGCCATGACAATTCCACTTCAGCAAATGCTAAAGGGTGGGAAACATGGCAGTTCCTCCTTCCCTTCTCTCTCCCCCCTCCTTCCTCCTCCTCCTTCCCTCCTTCCTCTTCCTTCCTCCCTCTTCCCCCCTCCCTCCTCCCTCCTCCCTCCCCTGAATTCCCAACTCCCTCTACACCACACCTTGGTCGTTCACAAACTGCAGCTTCCTAACGCTCCGCAGTACCTCACACCCCGCTTTGTTCCAGGCCTTTCTCCTTTGGCTCTCCTTCCTCCCCAATTTCTCCTCTCATCATCCGTGTCCGCCCCTCTCTCTCGCCTCTTCCTCCACACCCCCATCCCTCCTCACCCCGTGGAGCAGAGTGCAGGGATGGCAGGGCTGCAGCAGCAGTGAGAGTGGAGACCCGCCGCCATGACTATCTCTTTCCAGACTCCCTGTCCTTGATGGAACTCCACCCATACGAGGTATTCCCCTCGCTCCTTTTCACCCTAACCGAACCACGTCCCCACGTTATCGGGCTTGCCACAAACACCACAATCACCATCGTAAGGTCAGATTCATGTTCACACTCTTCCTTCTCTCTGGTCAGATTCATGTTCACACTCTTCCTTCTCTCTGGTCAGATTCATGTTCACACTCTTCCTTCTCTCTGGTCAGATTCATGTTCACACTCTTCCTTCTCTCTGGTCAGATTCATGTTCACACTCTTCCTTCTCTCTGGTCAGATTCATGTTCACACTCTTCCTTCTCTCTGGTCAGATTCATGTTCACACTCTTCCTTCTCTCTGGTCAGATTCATGTTCACACTCTTCCTTCTCTCTGGTCAGATTCATGTTCACACTCTTCCTTCTCTCTGGTCAGATTCATGTTCACACTCTTCCTTCTCTCTGGTCAGATTCATGTTCACACTCTTCCTTCTCTCTGGTCAGATTCATGTTCACACTCTTCCTTCTCTCTGGTCAGATTCATGTTCACACTCTTCCTTCTCTCTGGTCAGATTCATGTTCACACTCTTCCTTCTCTCTGCCCTCCTTGCGGCCCTTACCCTTGCCCTTCCTGTTCAGCCGCCCTCCTGTCCAGCCCGTGCTGCCCTACTCCCCCAGTACCCCCTCCATCTCATCCTCTAGCACTTGCCAAAGGTCGCCCAAGCTAGGCTCCCATGGATCCGTGGGTCCTTGAGGGAAGGCCGCCTCGGCGGCTCGGTTTGACTTGGAAAGGAAGGACACTGCCTGGCTACGCTGGAGCATTATGGACCACCGCTGCCTGTAATGAGCTGTGAGCCGCGCAGCCGTGGTGGTTAGTTTGCCTTGGCGGTACTTCTTCTTTGCTGCCGAGGTTGCTACCAACCGCAAAAACTGCACCGTATCAGCTGCCAGGGCCCCGTATGTCTCAACCGCCAAACCAAAAAACCGCACATAGTCCGGTCGACCCTCGTACAGCCTATGCTTGCTCTCGGATGCTTCCTTTGCCGCCCACCCTGGCGGCTTCCGTGCTCTGGTGTCGCGCCTCTGTAGGACTGGGTCAGTCACGGTCACGTCCGTGACAAAGGTTTCACCCGATTCCTGGTCCTGGATTGCTAAATCTGCCCTCTTACGTAGCACAGGGGGGGAAAAGGTGGTGGTTTCGTGGAAGGTCGAGAAATCTGCCTCCCTCGCCATCCTGAGTGCTGCATACACCAGTGCGTTATGTGTCCTAACCACGTCCCCTCCGTCCGCACATCTGAGTAGGTGATTCGGGAGCGAGGTGTCATTGATGTCCGAGTTTTTCCGCTTGCAAGGGCACTTTACTGTAACCGGCAGCTGCATGCCTAGACGGAAGCCCAACGCCATCGAGAGCTGACCAGGGGATAATGTAAGGTCAGCCCTCGTTGGCACAGCGTGCAGCCAATCTCCTGCCCCTATTCCCTGCAGGTCGATGAGTCTCACTGCGTGCTCGTTGTCTTTCCCCGGCCTATCCATCATTGTGTCAGCCACGAGCTCCCTCGCTCTTGTCTCCCAGATGTGCCTGGATAGAAGCAGCTGCAGGTTGCCAGCGCCTGGTGGGCGTTCTCTGAAGGCCTGCAGGGCCGCTCGCGCACTTGCAGGGAGCTCCTCCTCCAGTGCCGTGAGCTGGTTGCTGTTCGGGGGCTCCGGGTTCCATGTGTGAGAGAGCAGTGTTGTTGCCCGGCTCAGCAGGTGCTCTTTCTCAATGTTCATCTGCTGCAGCAGTTGTTGTGCCGCTGTGATTGATGCAATGTGTGCTGCCGGTGCCTCCGAAGCTGGGTCCACAATGCCCAGCCCCCCCAGCCGTATTGGGAGTGTTGCCTGTCGCCAGAGCAAGCTCTGTTCGAGCTCACTCCTCGGCATCCGTAGTTTGGCCGAGGTGAGTGCCGCTTCCAGCAGGGTTTCGCTCCATCCCCTCCAGCTCTCTCTCGACAGTGTCTGTGATGGTGTAGTGCGTAGCAGGTAGGACACCCTCCTGCTGATGCTTCGCGAGATGATGAGCAGGGCGTGTTGGGGGTGCATCTGGGCGACCAAGGGGAGTGGTGCAGAGGCGTCCATGAGCTTCGCAACAACTTGGTTTGTGCAGAATTCCTCTGTACCGATGGGGCTGCCCAGCACCTGGATGCCTTCTCTGCTCAGCTCTAATCCCTCTGGAGGCGTGCCGTCCTGGGCTTCTATCCCGTTGGGTGTCCATGCTGAAGATTTCCCGATGTTGCATTTTAGCCCGCATGATGCTAGCCCGCGGGTGATGGAGTCGAATGCTAAGAACGCCGCCTCCTGTGGGCCTACGATCGTAATATCATCCGCGTAGGCAACAACCGCCACCTCTGGGAGGAGTGTGGCCGCAGTGAGTTGGGTAGGTTGGATGGCCGCGGCGAAGAGTAGTGGGCCCAGTGGGTCTCCTTGTCGCACCCCCCTAGTGCTCGCCATGTGATCTGCGTCGAAGCGTGTGTCGACGAGCAGGCGGGAGGGTCCGTCATAGAGCGTGCGGACGAGGGGTATGAGCGGCTGCAGGTTCGACCGTGAGAGTGCAGTGAAGAAGGCGGAACTTTCTACACTGTTGAAGGCATTCTCGATATCTATCTGCAGTGCGATGTGTTTGCTATCGTCCCTCAGGAGCGATCTGACGATGTGGATAACACATTTGGCGCCGCCCGCCACTCCCACTCCGTATTGCACAGGCAGGAAAAATTCCCTTATGTTCGGCGCTAATTCACGTAGTGCCGCTTTCGCCACTATTCTGAGTATGGTTTCGCCAATGGCTATAGGTCGTACCCCGCCTTCGGCGGCCGGCGCGAGCCGCTGGCTTGGGGAGATGACTCACCAGCAACTAATGAGGATCAGATTGCAGATTGTGAGCTTAAGAAGGAACCTGTACTCACTATAGACTGTGGGGCTGGGCTACACTACGAGAGAGGGTGGCCTAGCTGCTCCTACAACTAGGGTACGCATGGGAGAAGAGAGGGCTTCTGCTGGAGTCTAAGGACTAGCTCCCTAGTCTCTCTCGAACGGTCCTTTCATTGATGTATAAAAAGGGGGTACAGGCAGGTGCAAAGAAAGTGTGAGCTAAGCCCATTACATATGGCACTAACCATTCTATTCTCTGCCCTTTCAGCCCTCCAGGGTTGCAAAGCAATCCCCTGGGTTCAGCACCCCCTCTTGCCCCCCTACCGGCGGGTTCTCCTCGCGTGTTGCCAAATTCAACTTCTTGAGGTAGCTGAGCGCCTGTCCCCTCTGCAAGGTGACAGACCATCGCTGCCGGTACTGGTGCAGCATTTTTGCTGCCTGGTAGGAGCTAGGGTCCGCGTTGAAAAGGTTCCTAGCAGCCGAGTCAGCAAGCATCTTGAGGAAGGTGTGGACCTCCTCGCATGGGCACCCGTAGGTTTCTACCGCCAGTGGGAAGAACCCCACCCAAGGTAGGCGCGTCCGGTAGTGGTCTATCTTCTTGTCTGCCATCTCCCGCGCCATCCATCCCCGCCCCTTGGTAGCATCCTCGTCACGGCTGCTGATTGGGTCGGTGACCATGACGTCACAGATGTGTACCGCGCCTGAGGTAGGGTCCCGTATTGCCAAATCCGCCTTTTGCTTATCCACGGGGCAGAAAGCCGTTGTCTCCTTGTGCACCGTAAACCCCGCATCTTGAGCCATGCGTATGCATTCGTCTCTGATTCCGTTGTGTGTGTCCGTCCGTCCATGTCCCGTGCCGCAGCGAAGGAGGTGGTTGGGTAGCCGTTTATCCAGGATAGCAATCCTGTCACGGCAGTCGCAGCGGTCTGGTACGGGGAGGGGCAGTCCTAGCCGGAATTGGACGGCATGTAGGGGATGGCGAGCAATCAATCCCCGGCTCCGTATCCCGTGAGAGACAGTAGCCGTTGCGTGTGGCCCTTGAGCGGGTTCAGTTCCATCTGCCTCGATGCCACCACCTGTGCGGCGTAGCGGTTGCCTTGGACGAGCAAGGCCAGGCTGTGCTACAGCCTGTCTGTTGGTTTAACCCGCTCTGCCGCCAACAGCTCTATGGCCTCCTGACCTAATGAGGCCTCGCAGTCAAGGAGCCATCGCTGGAGCTGGTGCTGGTCTGGTCTGTCAACAGCTGGTCGTGCTAAGGTGCCGGTCAGGTGAAGGCTTGCGGGTCCTGGGAGGGTGCCGAGCAGGTTCTGCGCCTGTACAAAGCTGGCCAGGAAGCTGTATTTGCCTTCCACCACGGGGTCTGTGAGGCCTATCCCCCCAAGGGATGGTGGCAGAGAAGCCTGTCCCCACACCCGATGTTCTTCCTCCGCCCCCCTCGGGTGGTGGACGCCGCATGCGTCTAGGAGCGTGAGGAGTTGCGCGTGGGCCCAGCGGGACCATTCAGCTTCAGGGAGGAGGTGAAGGGGTGTGGTGCGGGCCAGGTATGACACTCTTCTCGAGATGCACCGCGTCAGGAGCAAATTGGCCAACTGCGGGTTCATTTCTGCAATTTGTGGCAGTGGCGCGGCCATTTTGGAAAGCTGTTCTCGTATGAACGCAGATGCACCGTCTTCTGGGCCGATGTGGCTGCCCAGTACGCGAAGTCCTTCCGCTTTGTACGGGACCCCGTCAGGTAGGATGGCCACGTCGTCCAGGCTCCGGCTCCAGGCCGAACACTTCGCGGGGTTATGAGTCAGCCCCACGCCCCTCAGCTGTAGTGTGAAGTGGTTGAATGCAGCAGCACAGTCTGCCGCTGCCCCGAGAAACGACACGTCGTCCGCGTACGCCATGCACAGAACGGTGGGGAATGCCGCCGCTGTTGTTTTGAGGGCGGGATGCATGCCAGCAGCGAATAGCAGGGGGCCCAGGGGGTCGCCTTGGCAGACGCCTGCTTGGCTTAGCAGCGGCTCACAACCGTACTCAGCGCCCAGGTACAGTTTTGATGGCGCTCCATAGGAGAGGCGGACTAGCGGCAACAAATGTTCGAGGTCAGTCCCTCGTATGGCCCTGACAATGGCTTCTCGGCTGATACTATTGAACGCATTCGCTAAGTCTGCTTGCAGGATGAGTGCATCTTGATTTGCGCTCATGTATGCTCTCGCCGCGTGGATGATGGCCTCGCTGCCGCCCTGGACAGCTACCCCAAACTGGAGTGGGAGGAAGAAGGTGCGGGCAGCATCAGCTATGGCAAACAACGCGGATTTGGCGGCGAGGCGGAGGAGGCACTCGCCAATCGCTATGGGTCTGGTTCCTCCTTCGGGTTTCTCCAAGGCGAGGAGTCTGGATGATGTGAGTAAGTCGTTGATTTCAGCTGGAAGTGCTCCTCGCATATTAGTGTTTACGAGTGCGTGAAGGTGAGTGTTGACTGAGGCGTTAGTGACGGCTGCATCTCTGAGGTGTTCGAAGGTCATCCCTGATGGACCGGCTCCTACTCCGTTTTCTGTTCTGCACAGCAGCTTCGTGAAAGCCGCCAAGTCGATGGAGGTGGGTGTGACTGTTGGGCTTGTGGTCCAGTCTATGGGCTCGTTAGAGGAGGGTGGGTGTTTGGATTTCAGTGCGTCGAGTACCTCAGGCGAGGCTGACGCCACTGGTGTCGCCTCTAGCGCCATTACTGCTCTACGGAGACTTCCACGCCGCGCCAAACCTTCTGCTCTGGAGCGCCTGCCTAAATCGTCAGGCTGGTGGTGCGGAGGTGGGGCCGAGCCGACTGCTGCCAAAGCTGCTTCGAATAAGGCTCCCCATTCGCCCTCGAAAAACTGGCGGAGTCGTGCTGTCACGGCCAGCCAGTCATGTTTCTTGGGGTTGTTCTGGCGCAGTAACAGTCGTGGCAGAAAGAGGAGCAGGCGCCAGCCCGCGACTGACTCAGGATTTCGCGCAAGGTGCAGGAGCGGTGTTAGCAGTGCCATGGCGAATCGGATGCGGGTATCCCGCGGGAGTTTTCGTGACAGTGGGGGCTGGCGACTGTCGTGAAGCAGTGTCAGGTCCCAGTTTCCAACTTCGCTGAAACGGGATTGGTCCCTCGCCAGCTGCTCAGGTGAGAATTGGCGGGGAGGTTCAGGGTTCTCGTTTCGCCCAGGTTCCTGGTGCGAATTTCCCCCCCTGTTTGCGATGTTTTGAGATGCGGCTCGGGTTTGTGTTGGCCCACTCCTTCGACCCCTTCCTGCTCGTGTCTCTTCCTCCTCCGCCTCACCACTGCCCTCCGTAGATGACTCCACTACTTCCCCTTGTACATAATCCGCGTCCCGAGCGTCGTCCTCCTCATTAGCCACTTCCCTTTCTTGTCTAATTAAAGCCCGACTTGCAGCTCTTTGGAAGCCATTCAGTGGTCCGCTGCCCCTGAGCTACGCCTTCTACCCTCTTGTGCTCCTCCCGCTGAGCGTGCCGACTACCGCGGCGTCTGTGCGTTTAGTAACGCCCTTTGCCGCTGTGTTAGTGGGGCGCGTGTAATCCCCTCTGTCGCGTCTAATGGCTGCGGAGGCTGCACAGTCTGGAGTGGAGCTCCCTGCTGCTGTGGGCTGCGCGATGGGGAATTCCGCGGAAAGCGTACTGGCCCCTGCTCCACTCCTTGTTCCGTCTGCTGCGGCGCCCTCTCCTGTGATCGAGCTCTCCGCTGATGTTGGCGGAGTGGTTCAGCCTGCGTGCGGAGACCCTGCTCGCCCGCCGCCGTCTGCTCCCCTTCCGACTGCCGCGGTACTGGTCGGTGCGTCACCTCCTGCTCCGGCGCAGGCGTCGCAACCGCCTGTCCAGGCTGCCGTCGCGGGGTCAGCACAGGCGACCGCGGTGGGCGCTGGCTCTGACCCGGTCCGCCTCGCGTCTCCCGAGTCCGCGCCGCCCCCGCAGGCGGCGCCTCCCTCCGTGCGGCTGGGCCAGCAGGCGGGTTCCGCAAATCATGCTAATGCGAGGGGCAATGCGACGTCTCATCGGGGGCGTGGTTCTCTGCGTCACCGCCCCTCACCCTCGTACCGTTCCGCGCATCGTGGCGGCCGCGGTGGCTGGCGGGGAGGTCCCGGTCGCGGCCTTGATAGCGCGGCGGAGGTGCAGCAGCTGCACGCAGATCTGCCGTGGATGTTTGCGGCCGCCATGCACTCCGCGCAGATGGGATCGTCGAACCCGATGGGCTCGCAGGCGCCGATGGCAGCTGCCAGTGTCCCCGCGCCTGTTGTCGAGCGGGCTCCCGCGGCTCCTCCCGCTGCTCTGCCCGCGTTTGCGCCTGCGTTCAAGAGGATGGCCGTGCATCCGTATCCTGTGCTCCCGTGGGTCCCTCCCGTTGTTGGTATGGAATTTGTGGGGGCGGGAGGAGGAGCGGGGAGGGCGCCGTTTGTTCCCTCGCGCCGTATTGCTGACTTTGCTCCCGCTGATCCCGCTCCCCGTTGTAATCTGGCCGAGGGGACCTTCCCCCGGCAGGTTCTAGTGCCCACAGTGACCCTTGGGCAGATGTGGCGCTTGGCGGAGTGCCTTCGGGCCCTGATACTGATTCAGGTGAACGCCCACGCGTCCATTCAGGCGACCCAAGAGAACACTCTCGGTCCTGAATCGCGAGCTGATTCTCTGGCTGCAGCTGGGCAGCTTGCCGCGCTTGTGGTGCCCTTGTTGGCAGCGCCCGCGCGGGGAGGCGCAGCGGTTGGGCAGATGGACGAAGCAGTCCGGGTTCTGAGAGGGCACCTGCGGGCCGGGCACGGAGCCGAAGTGATCGGCGCAAGCATAATGGTGCTCCGCCCCCTGTGGAGGACCCTGACAGGGATCCTTGCCGCCCTAAAGGCGGACCAGATGTAGTGCCTAATACTCTACGTGCATAGACGCGCTGCATGTTCCTATGTTATTGCTGGCCGCTGTGTGCATGCGTGTATAACTCGTCCTATTGTTTCACAGGCGCTTGTTGCTGGTCTTGCCGTCCCTAACGCGCGGCCGCAGGCCGCGCTTGCGAGCGACGGCGGCCAAAGGCCGCCGGCGCGAGCGCCGTTTTTCCTACCACCAAATGAACTAATGAAGAAAAGGAAGGGCAGAAGGGCCCTTATATAGCAAGGGGATAGAGGGAAGAGGGCCGAGGGAAGAGGCCAGAGGCTAAGTCCTCTCTCTCTCGCTCTCCCATGCGGCGTTTTTCCTACCACCAAATGAACTAATGAAGAAAAGGAAGGGCAGAAGGGCCCTTATATAGCTAGGGGATAGAGGGAAGAGGGCCGAGGGAAGAGGCCAGAGGCTAAGTCCTCTCTCTCTCGCTCTCCCATGCGGCGTTTTTCCTACCACCAAATGAACTAATGAAGAAAAGGAAGGGCAGAAGGGCCCTTATATAGCTAGGGGATAGAGGGAAGAGGGCCGAGGGAAGAGGCCAGAGGCTAAGTCCTCTGTCTCTCTCTCTCTCTCGAACGGTCCTTCGTATTAATATCACTAAGGTACACACAGGGTAAAGCAGCAAACCACACACAGCAAAGCTACTGTATCAGTCTCCTACCCAGACACAACCACAGCCGCCCCCTTCCCCTTCCGGCCCTAGTGGCCGGAGGGGTCTTCTATCAATTGGTACAGCTGGCCCTCGCTCAGTGGAGTGAACGGTCCCTGCAGGTCTAGCACATCCGCGGTAAGAGCCTCATGGGTCTTATCCCTGAGGGCGTTGGCTTGGGCTCTCTGCAGGGTCACGCTCCAGCGCTGGCGGTACTCGGTGAGTAGTTTCGCCACCTCCCTCGACTTTGGGGAGGCGTTAAACCGCCGCTTTGCCGCCAGCTCCGCGCAGCTGCGAAGGAAATCGAGGACTCCAGGTGAGGGGTAGCCGTAAGTCTCCACGGCCATGGCGTAGAAGCCCACCCACGGGCTCCGCCCGGCATATTTGGTCTCCTTCTTGTCCGCTTGCATCCTGGCCGCCCATCCGGGCGCCTTGCGAGCGTACTCGTCCTGGTGGGAGACGGGGTCAGTGACTGTGATGTCACAGATCCATACTGCGCCGGTGTCGGGATGGCGGATAGAAATATCCGCTTTGAGGTTTTGGACCGGTGAGTATGCCGTTGTCTCCTTGTGCACCGTGAATCCCGCTTCAGCCGCTTTCTTCGCGCACTCATCTCGCAAGGCATTGTGAGTGCCGATTCTCCCCCCCCTTTCTCACACCGCATCAAGTGGTTCGGCAGGCGATCGTCCGGGAAGGTGATGCGGTATCTGCAGTTGCAGCGTCTTGGCACAGGTAGGGGCAGTCCCAGGCGGAAGGATGCCGCAGTGGAGAACTGGGAGGGACCGAGGCGGAGGGAAGAGATCAGGGGAATGGCCAGCAGCCAGTCCCCCGCCCCCGGGCCCAAGAGGGACTGTAACCTCTGCGTATGGCCAAATAGTGGGTTCAGGTCCATGTTCCATGAGCTGTCCAGCAGTCGGATGTAGCGGTCTGTTTGCACCGCGAGGGAGAGAGCTTGCTGTAGTTTCGGCCCGTTAGGCTTTTGTCTCCTGTCTGCAGGGCCTCTATTCCGTCAGGTGGCAACTCGGCTTCCAGGGCAGCGAGGCGTCGTGGGAGGAGGGATGTGGATTCTCCGTCAGCATCCATCAGCGGCAGTAGTCCTGATAGGGCCGGGTTCGCTGAGTCGCCGAAGGAGCGTAGCAGGTGGGCGGCCGATACAACTGAAGCCAGGTAGGCGAATCTCCCCTCTACTGCAGGGTTGGTGATGCCGAGGCCTCCTAGGGACGCGGGCAGTGCCAGATCCTGTCCCTCTCTGCCCGGTCCCTGGGGATACTTGTATGTGCCGCGGCCAGGTAGGTGTGGAGCAGTTCTTCCCCCTAGGCCGACCACTCCTCCAACGGAAGGGCCTCGGGGGGCGTGGCTCTGACCAGGAACGAGGCGCGGCGGCTCACGCAGCGGGTGAGTAGTAGCAGGCACAGTTGGGGGTCCATCTGGGCGAGGAGCGTGAGAGGTTCGGCAGCTGCTGCGAGACGTTCGCGAACTCGAGCCGCACAGCCGGTGGGGGGGCCAATGGGGCTGCCCAGGACGCGGACTCCAACTTGAGAAATCGTGATGCCAGCAGGTAAGGTGGCGGGGTCAAGTGCAGCTGCGGACCACGCCTCGCATTTTGCCGGGTTGTGGGCCAGCCCATGAAGGAGGAGGGCTTCCGTGAGGTGTGCGAACGCTGCCGTGCAGTTCGCCGCCTCCCCTAGTAGTGTGATGTCATCTGCATACGCCAGAAACACCACGTCCGAATGTGCCGCTGCCGATTGGACGAGGCAGGGGTGGATGCTGGCTGCAAACAGCATGGGTCCCAGCGGGTCACCCTGGCGTACGCCCCGTGCGCTCTGAAGTGGTTCTGCTCCGAAGTCATGGTCGAGATAGAGCGCTGATGAGTTGCCGTAAGAGAAACGAACGAGGGGCACTAAGACTTCGAGGTCGGTGCCTTTCAGGCCCTCGAACACTGCCGCGCGCTCTACTGCATTGAAGGCGTTGGCCAGATCTATCTGCAGCGCCGTTGCTCCTGGGAACTCCTCCAGGTAGGTGCGTGCGGTGTGTATTGCCACCTCTATTCCTCCGCGATTGCTACTCTAAACTGAAGCGGGGTGAAGTGCTCGCGCGCCGCTGGGGTGGCTAGAAAAAGGGCCGCCTTGGCGATGAGGCGTAGTAGGCATTCACCCACAGCTGTCGGCCGCGTTCCGCCCTGTGGTTTCGAGAAGGCAAGTAGGCGTGACGCTGTTAGGAGATCCGCCACGTCTGCCTTCAGTTTTCCAGCGAGCGCCGTGTTGGTAAGTGCATGCAGCTGTAGGAAAACGTCTCCGTTCCCAAGGGCCGCGTCTCTAAGGTGCTCAAAGGGGGTGCCGGAGGGCCCAGCCCCTACTCCGTTGGGGCATTCATCACAAAAACCCCTCGCTTTTGAATCGCTTGGAAACGGGTCGAATTGGTTTCGGAAGTTGGGTTGTGTGGGTTGTCCAACTTTTTTCGCCCAACCACCAGCGAAAATGTGTCGTTCTCAAATTTCGATCTGCTTTCGCGCATCCGAACCGACTCGCGAGACATTGTGCGCCTCGGCGAAGCGAAATTGGCCCAATTTCGGTCAATGTCAGGTGTACAGTGCTCTTTTGACCAGGTTGAAATAGCAGTTTCGAGAATGGGGTGCGTTGGTTTCCCGCAAACATTTCTGGGTCACCGAGCCACAGCTTTGCTTGGCGCACGACCAGACGTGGCGATAGGGCGCGTTTGGGCCCTGCAAAATTGGTTTCGGATAGGAGTAATTATGGACCAAGATGAGCCTACAGTGTTTATTTTAAACAAATTTTACATGAAGTCATTATTATGTCTTATAATATTGAAAGGCTGCTGGTTAAACAATCACATGTGCATGTAAATATATAACCTGTTAAGTCATAAGTTGTTATTGCATGTAATCTTGCATCTTATTACAAAACCAGTTTGGTTGTCTATGAAAAAAGTACAGATGCGCTTATGATTTATTTCTAATTTAGCAGGTACTTGTTAAGATAGAATGCATTGTCGCTGTGGTAAGACTTGATAATGTGCACCTGGCGCAGTATGCTTTCAGTGTCAATCACTGAGTAGCGCGATACCCCAGTTGCCCACCTAAGACGTTTGCACCCTGTTTTTGCATCCTCACCTGCGCTTGACCAGTACTTTACATATGCCCACTCCTTCGTGCACCCCCCTCTCTTTCGTATGGAACAGCAACAAGAGCCTTCCGTACCACTCTGTCTCTGCACCAGTCGCCGTTGTTCCCACGATGGCAACATCAGAGAACCACGGCTTAGAGTGAGACAGCGGGGTTGCTTTCACGAAATGTGCTACACGGGCGAAACTAGAATCTTCTGCAGCAGGGATGGCAAGTGTTGTGTGAGCCTGCAACCAGTAAGAGACACAAATCAGTACAAATAACATTCAGTTACATATGGTATCTGCTTGATGTCACCATTGTCACCACTTACACGAACTTTTGTTGGCCTCAGCTGGCGTCGAAGCAATGCACCCGCAAAGGCATGGTGTGCCTCGCTGTGGAGCTTCGCCCACTCACGGACAAACCAGTTGGCAATGGGAGTGACGTCATCGGGTTTCACGGGGAAGAAGTAGGACTCCTTCACCATCACCCGAGCTCCATCCTCGATGGCCTGACACGTGTCAGAAAAGGCAGAGATTGGAAAAAAATCTCCGAATCGCAGCAACCAGCAGCAACGAGCACACCATTCTCCCCCTTCCCCTGCTCCACTCCCTGCCCTGCACTTCCTCATTTCACTGCCCCCTCTCCTGCCTTGAGCTAACTCTTCCCCTGCTACCCACCAAGGACCTGCCGGCAAACTTTCCTTGCCACTCAGCCCGAGCTGTCCCGCCAGGCACTCCTACTCACTGCACTCACCATCTCAGCACTCACCCTCCCATCACCGCACTCACCTTCTCTGCACTCACCCTCCCATCACCGCACTCACCATCTCAGCACTCACCCTCCCATCACCGCACTCACCATCTCAGCACTCACCCTCCCATCACCGCACTCACCATCTCAGCACTCACCCTCCCATCACCGCACTCACCATCTCAGCACTCACCCTCCCATCACCGCACTCACCTTCTCTGCACTCACCCTCCCATCACCGCACTCACCATCTCAGCACTCACCCTCCCATCACCGCACTCACCATCTCAGCACTCACCCTCCCATCACCGCACTCACCATCTCAGCACTCACCCTCCCATCACCGCACTCACCATCTCAGCACTCACCCTCCCATCACCGCACTCACCATCTCAGCACTCACCCTCCCATCACCGCACTCACCATCTCAGCACTCACCCTCCCATCACCGCACTCACCATCTCAGCACCTCCTCTCACAGAACCTACCTTTTGCATAGCCGTTTGTACGCCTTGGTCGGTGGCCACGTTGCTGATGGAGTCAAGCTTCATCTCGTGGTGCTTCATGATCTGCGTGTCCACTTTCCGCTTATTCGATCTCCTGTAGATTTGCTTCAGCAGGGTGCTATGCAGGTGTTCGAAGAGGTTGGTGCTGTACTCTTGCACATTCCCAGCTCGTCGAATTCCAGGGATGAAATGAGTCATCAAGTGTGTTTTGATGAGGTTCCACTTTGATTTCTGCTCGGGGAAGGCAGTCGTGAGTAGTTTCACCAGCCTGGGATGGGTGGGAGCATGAATAAATGAAGGAGTATATGGATAAGCGTTCAATGTGTTAGGGATGGAATCGCTAGGGGAGTTAGATGGTTTAGGTTGTATCGTTTGGTGAGGTACCTTGTTGATTTGGCTTGTAGTTCGGAAAGACTTCTCTCGGTGTGAGAGGCGGCGTTGCAGCAGAGATACCAGTCAAGGTATGCTCTGATGGCCTCCAGCTGGGGCGAGCCGACAACGTCAGCCACCAAAAAGACCAACACCTGGATGCATGCAGCATGGTGAGTAGGAAAGGTGAGAGAAAAGATTGAAGGATCTTCTTCCCATGAATGACTTCAAGCGAGTTTACAGACGAGCTTGACAACAGACCGACACATCACTACATTTGCATGAACCAACATAGCAGTGCCCTCTCCACCAGCCCATCTTCTCTCCCCTTCCTCTTCCGTCCCTGCCCAGCTCGCCCCACTCTTCCCACCCTCCCCCTTCCACCACTCCATGGTTTAGGCCTCAAAGCATCATACCTGCATGACCGATCGATGTTCAAAAGCTGCGACTTGTGCCCCGGTTTTGAAGTATTCGCTCTTCGGAAAACGCAAAGAGTTGATCCGTGTTTTCAGGGTGAGCCGTAGAAGACGCCTGCGTATGGTGGGATGGAAAGATTTCGGATATGGGGGGCGGCAGATCAGGATGGAATAAAGTTGAGCTGACACACTACCATGTGCTCACAAATGTGGGCTTGACATGCCAACATTGTAACCATGGTTTATTGAATAGAGCATCGTGCATGTCCAGGCGGGTGGTCCAAGGGGCACTCACAAATCCAGAATTTTCATCATCGTTGGGTGTTGGGCGCGGATGCATTGCACGATGTGGTCCAGCATCCCCAGGTCTGCCTGGTGCATGATGTCCGCCATGACAGCTAGGATTGGATTTCCCCACGGCAATGAACCAACCTGCCACTTCCATAAAGCACACTGTGCAGGTGGTACAGCGCAGCAGGGAATGCGATGGTTAGGGAAACACACGACACCAATAGACACCAGAGGTTGCTGTGTCTATGAGCCTACTGGGCGACTCCAGCTGGCATGGGATCAAATACTTACGTCGATGTCGAACGCTGAGTACAGCTTCAGCGGATTGTCATCCGCTCCGGCAGGGACTCCAGCTGCCTCGTCTCTAACCCACTGCTGTTGTGCGGGTGTGCGAACGTTGTTGGGTAGCTCCACAGATGACAGGCTTTCCTGTGGTGGGCGTTGGAATTTTTAGCATAAAGGGGACGAGCAAGAGAGACCGTTAGACACACACATATACAGAGATGAAATGTTCACAGCCAAGATTGCGGATGGGGCATGATTATATGCCCGGTCGACATCGCAGAGGGTTCGAGGCTTGCACTCCTGATCCCAGCACTTCCCAGCCCTACTTCTCCCCACCACAGCACCTCCCTCCCTCCCCATCCGGGCACTCACCATCCCATCACTCACCATCCCAGCACTAACCATACTATCACTCACCATCCCAGCACTCACCGTCCTAGCACTCACCATCCCAGCACTAACCATCCCATCACTCACCATCCCAGCACTCACCATCCCATCACTCACCATACCCGCACTCACCATCCCAGCACTCACTATCCCAGCACTCACCATCCCAGCACTAACCATCCCATCACTCACCATACTATCACTCACCATCTGGGCACTCACCATCCCAGCACTCACCATCCCAGCACTCACCATCCCAGCACTAACCATCCCATCACTCACCATACCCGCACTCACCATCCCAGCACTCACTATCCCAGCACTCACCATCCCAGCACTCACCATCCCAGCACTAACCATCCCATCACTCACCATACTATCACTCACCATCCCAGCACTCACCATCCGGGCACTCACCATCCCAGCACTCACCATCCCAGCACTCACCATCCCAGCACTAACCATCCCATCACTCACCATACCTGCACTCACCATCCCAGCACTCACTATCCCAGCACTCACCATCCCAGCACTAACCATCCCATCACTCACCATCAAATCACTCACCATCCCAGCACTCACCATCCCAGCACTAACCATCCCATCACTCACCATCCCAGCACTCACCATCCCAGCACTCACCATCCCAGCACTAACCATCCCAGCACTCACCATCCCAGCACTCACCATCCCAGCACTCCCAGCACTCACCATCCGGGCACTCACCATCCCAGCACTAACCATCCCATCCCTCACCATCCCAGCACTCACCATCCCAGCCCTAACCATCCCATCACTCACCATACTATCACTCACCATCTCAGCACTCACCATCCCAGCACTAACCATCCCATCACTCACCATACTATCACTCAGCATCCGAGCACTCACCGTCCCAGCACTCACCATCCCAGCACTCACCATCCCAGCACTAACCATCCCATCACTCACCATCCCAGCACTCACCATCCCAGCCCTAACCATCCCATCACTCACCATACTATCACTCACCATCCCAGCACTAACCATCCCATCACTCACCATACTATCACTCACCATCCCAGCACTCACCATCCGGGCACTCACCATCCCATCACTCACCATCCCAGCACTCACCATCCCAGCACTAACCATCCCATCACTCACCATCCCAGCACTCACCCTCCCAGCACTCACCATCCCAGCACTCACCATCCCAGCACTCACCATCCCAGCACTCACCATCTCAGCACTCACCATCCCAGCACTCACCATCCCATCACTCACCATCCCAGCACTCACCATCCCAGCACTCACCATCCCAGCACTAACCATCCCAGCACTCACCATCCCAGCACTCACCATCCGGGCACTCACCATCCCAGCACTAACCATCCCATCACTCACCATCCCAGCACTCACCATCCCAGCCCTAACCATCCCATCACTCACCATACTATCACTCACCATCCCAGCACTCACCATCCCAGCACTAACCATCCCATCACTCACCATACTATCACTCAGCATCCGAGCACTCACCGTCCCAGCACTCACCATCCCAGCACTCACCATCCCAGCACTAACCATCCCATCACTCACCATCCCAGCACTCACCATCCCAGCCCTAACCATCCCATCACTCACCATACTATCACTCACCATCCCAGCACTAACCATCCCATCACTCACCATACTATCACTCACCATCCCAGCACTCACCATCCGGGCACTCACCATCCCAGCACTCACCATCCCAGCACTCACCATCCCAGCACTAACCATCCCATCACTCACCATACTATCACTCAGCATCCGAGCACTCACCGTCCCAGCACTCACCATCCCAGCACTCACCATCCCATCACTCACCATACTATCACTCACCATCCCCATCCCAGCACCTCCCATCCCAGCACATCCCCACCCAGAGTGTACATGTTGACGTACCCTGTCGACATAGCAGAGGCTGCACGGCTTCATGCAGCCCTGGCCAGATTTGGTGCATGTCAGTTTCCCGGACTCGGGATAGTCACAAGCCCAAGCGTAAAGCAAAGGAACGACCCATCGCTCGATGCCTTCTGAGTCCAGCAGCATGACACCACTGCACAGTTTTCGGGCAGCCATGACACAGGGTGAAAACACATGCAGGTTAACAATATTCATTACTTCCAAGTGCCGCACTCCTTTTATGGGGCATGACTCACCAAATAGATAAAGTTTCGATAAACACCAGCATTTGCACCACTCACTTGTCTTTAAGGCGGAGAAGTGGCTCAAGTAGCTTAGCAATACACGCGTTGTAAAGCTCCACCTTCAAGTGCGACGGCATATTCGAGGGTGGGATGGGTAACAGCGCCAGCAGGGAGTGCCCAGGCCGCCCCCAGCGTTTTGGGAATGCAATATTCCCCAGTGTCATCATGACCGGGTGCGCCTTCTTCCTTCCGTTGTTGCTCAAGTGCGTGACATCACTGTACAGTATCAGCGCCGCAACAATCTTGTCCATGCCAATGAATTCCTGCACATAACGCAAAGAATGGATAGATTGGGTCGAGGGGAAAGGCAATGTCTCTGGGCGGTAAACATTGCTGACTCGAAAAGGGCACACCAGCTGAAAGCCGGGACCATGCATGGTGAGTGGTAGGTTTGGAACATATGCAAGGTGCGAGTGATGTGAGGGGAGTGTAAACTACCCATCACCTTGCACTCACAATCTCTGCACCTCCCGTCCCATCACTCACAATCTCTGCACCTCCCCTCTCATCACTCACCATCTCTCACAACTGCAAATAGCTATCAATAGCACTCACCTGTGCTTCTTGCCACCATGTGCCAGTTTCTGCAGTGGAATATGCCCGATGCCCACTCTCGCTGTCCTTGTCTCTCCTCGGTCCCATTCTGAAGCCAGGCGCATTGTGCTTGTGCCGAAACATATCCGCCAGGGCCTGCAATATCATATACAGCACGTACACAGGCCGGTTAGCACCCTACACAGTATGAGAGTGACGCATGATGCCGCCAGGACATGTAGTCAAGCCAATGCCCTTCAGTTTCATCCCGGGTACCCGAAACTACGTCAGCAAACTCACCCTCAGTGGATCGCGGTGAAGCATCACTTGCGGTGGAAAGCCCTCCACATAAAATGTGGTCGACTCGAATCCACGTCCCGTGTCAGCCAGATATTCCTTCTGTAGCCTCTCCACATCCCGGAAGCTACGGACATTCCCCTCTACCAGCAGCGGGGCCAACCCTGGATGGATAATTAGCTGCAGCACCTTGTTAGTATCCATGTTCGATAAGCCCATGCCGCCATTCAGCGAATCGAGTTGCTCCAACAGGTGTATCAAAGCGGGATGGATGTCGCTGCCATCGGGAAACGAAGGCCTGGCAGCAGAACCGGATCCAGGATTATCTGGACATGTGGTTGGGGGCTGCTCCGCCCCTTGGCTGGACGACTGGGGCGTTGAGGGATGTGGAGAAGATCCCTCAGGATCAACACGACTCTCACAGCCCACGCCACTAGACGAGGTTGGCAGTGTCTCCTGAGTTGCATCTTGAGGCGCGGAACTGCCATGTCTGACGAAGCGCGGGAGCGATGCAGGCACAATGTAGGCTATGTTAGGGCGCCTAGGACCACTGCCTGCGCGATGCTCTGCAGAGTTGGGGTTGCAGGGTGTGTTGCCAGCCCGGTGCCTTCCTAGCGCGAAACAGTCTGAAAACTCTCGTTCACAGTGTGCACACCGAACAGGACTAGAACGATCCATGGCAGCGCGACATTAGTCCGTCGTTCCTTTGCCTCTGCATATCGCCGTGGCGTTTAAATACGCACCCGCTACAAAGAGTCGATGAATAGCGAGAAGGCCATTCAGTATAAGGTAGCGGATGGACATCGTGACGGGGAATAACGCTACAGTGCGAGCTAGCTAGAGGCGCGACAGCCATGTGATTACGACGAGTCGCTGACGGCGCGACCTGGGGGCACGATATGAGATGCAATACACGAATCGCGATGAGGCGGATCGGGAACCTTGATGAAATTAGGTTTGCAGCCTTCAGGATAGGGTTGGTGTGTGCGTGCAGTGCCTGATTCCCTGTGCCTCATACCACGACTTCAAACTTTCGAAAGTCAAATGCAATGCTATTCACGTTTTAGACACAACACTGTATACGAGCCCTGGTGTGCACATAAGTGATAAGACGTATGCATAAAAAAATGTGCCATTTATAGAATTGAACAAAAATATTAACTGAACCTACGATCAAGAAATTTGTAACCATGGTTTCATTTAACAAAACCTACTGACTACTGACTATTGGACTAATATCGTCTAGGATAGGAAATCAGGCCTTGCCCCATACGACGGCCTGAATCGCAGTAAAATCCGGCGTTTTATGTCATCTTCCAAACAACCAACCTAGAGTGCTCCGAGTAGATGAAAATTGGATGGAAGGTCCACAGCACTACTTAGAGTCACCACACAAAGAATCCGCTCAATCCAATCTTTGGCTGGTAGGTAATCGTGCCTTGCCCCAAAAGGCAGCGGAAATCGCATAAAAATCAACTAAACTAGCTCATCTTCCAAACAACCAACCTAGAGTGCTCCGCAGGACCTGAAAATTGGATGGAAGGTCCACAGCACTACTTAGAGTCACCACACAAAGAATCAGCTCAATCCAATATGTGGCCGGCAGGTAATCGTGCCTTGCCCCAAAAGGCGGCGGAAATCGCATAAAAATCAACTAAACTAGCTCATCTTCCAAACAACCAACCTAGAGTGCTCCGCAGGAGCTGAAAATGGGGACACCGGTCCACAGCACTACTTAGAGTCACCACACAAAGAATCAGCACCTCCTCTCACAGAACCTACCTTTTGCATAGCCGTTTGTACGCCTTGGTCGGTGGCCACGTTGCTGATGGAGTCAAGCTTCATCTCGTGGTGCTTCATGATCTGCGTGTCCACTTTCCGCTTATTCGATCTCCTGTAGATTTGCTTCAGCAGGGTGCTATGCAGGTGTTCGAAGAGGTTGGTGCTGTACTCTTGCACATTCCCAGCTCGTCGAATTCCAGGGATGAAATGAGTCATCAAGTGTGTTTTGATGAGGTTCCACTTTGATTTCTGCTCGGGGAAGGCAGTCGTGAGTAGTTTCACCAGCCTGGGATGGGTGGGAGCATGAATAAATGAAGGAGTATATGGATAAGCGTTCAATGTGTTAGGGATGGAATCGCTAGGGGAGTTAGATGGTTTAGGTTGTATCGTTTGGTGAGGTACCTTGTTGATTTGGCTTGTAGTTCGGAAAGACTTCTCTCGGTGTGAGAGGCGGCGTTGCAGCAGAGATACCAGTCAAGGTATGCTCTGATGGCCTCCAGCTGGGGCGAGCCGACAACGTCAGCCACCAAAAAGATCAACACCTGGATGCATGCAGCATGGTGAGTAGGAAAGGTGAGAGAAAATATTGAAGGATCTTCTTCCCATGAATGACTTCAAGCGAGTTTACAGACGAGCTTGACAACAGACCGACACATCACTACATTTGCATGAACCAACATAGCAGTGCCCTCTCCACCAGCCCATCTTCTCTCCCCTTCCTCTTCCGTCCCTGCCCAGCTCGCCCCACTCTTCCCACCCTCCCCCTTCCACCACTCCATGGTTTAGGCCTCAAAGCATCATACCTGCATGACCGATCGATGTTCAAAAGCTGCGACTTGTTCACCATCCCAGCACTCACCATCCCAGCACTAACCATCCCATCACTCACCATACTATCACTCACCATCCAGCACTCACCATCCCAGCACTCACCATCCCAGCACTCACCATCCCATCACTCACCATCCCAGCACTCACCATCCCATCACTCACCATCCCAGCACTCACCATCCCAGCACTCACCATCCCAGCACTAACCATCCCAGCACTCACCATCCCAGCACTCACCATCCGGGCACTCACCATCCCAGCACTAACCATCCCATCACTCACCATCCCAGCACTCACCATCCCAGCCCTAACCATCCCATCACTCACCATACTATCACTCACCATCCCAGCACTCACCATCCCAGCACTAACCATCCCATCACTCACCATACTATCACTCAGCATCCGAGCACTCACCGTCCCAGCACTCACCATCCCAGCACTCACCATCCCATCACTCACCATACTATCACTCACCATCCCCATCCCAGCACCTCCCATCCCAGCACATCCCCACCCAGAGTGTACATGTTGACGTACCCTGTCGACATAGCAGAGGCTGCACGGCTTCATGCAGCCCTGGCCAGATTTGGTGCATGTCAGTTTCCCGGACTCGGGATAGTCACAAGCCCAAGCGTAAAGCAAAGGAACGACCCATCGCTCGATGCCTTCTGAGTCCAGCAGCATGACACCACTGCACAGTTTTCGGGCAGCCATGACACAGGGTGAAAACACATGCAGGTTAACAATATTCATTACTTCCAAGTGCCGCACTCCTTTTATGGGGCATGACTCACCAAATAGATAAAGTTTCGATAAACACCAGCATTTGCACCACTCACTTGTCTTTAAGGCGGAGAAGTGGCTCAAGTAGCTTAGCAATACACGCGTTGTAAAGCTCCACCTTCAAGTGCGACGGCATATTCGAGGGTGGGATGGGTAACAGCGCCAGCAGGGAGTGCCCAGGCCGCCCCCAGCGTTTTGGGAATGCAATATTCCCCAGTGTCATCATGACCGGGTGCGCCTTCTTCCTTCCGTTGTTGCTCAAGTGCGTGACATCACTGTACAGTATCAGCGCCGCAACAATCTTGTCCATGCCAATGAATTCCTGCACATAACGCAAAGAATGGATAGATTGGGTCGAGGGGAAAGGCAATGTCTCTGGGCGGTAAACATTGCTGACTCGAAAAGGGCACACCAGCTGAAAGCCGGGACCATGCATGGTGAGTGGTAGGTTTGGAACATATGCAAGGTGCGAGTGATGTGAGGGGAGTGTAAACTACCCATCACCTTGCACTCACAATCTCTGCACCTCCCGTCCCATCACTCACAATCTCTGCACCTCCCCTCTCATCACTCACCATCTCTCGCAACTGCAAATAGCTATCAATAGCACTCACCTGTGCTTCTTGCCACCATGTGCCAGTTTCTGCAGTGGAATATGCCCGATGCCCACTCTCGCTGTCCTTGTCTCTCCTCGGTCCCATTCTGAAGCCAGGCGCATTGTGCTTGTGCCGAAACATATCCGCCAGGGCCTGCAATATCATATACAGCACGTACACAGGCCGGTTAGCACCCTACACAGTATGAGAGTGACGCATGATGCCGCCAGGACATGTAGTCAAGCCAATGCCCTTCAGTTTCATCCCGGGTACCCGAAACTACGTCAGCAAACTCACCCTCAGTGGATCGCGGTGAAGCATCACTTGCGGTGGAAAGCCCTCCACATAAAATGTGGTCGACTCGAATCCACGTCCCGTGTCAGCCAGATATTCCTTCTGTAGCCTCTCCACATCCCGGAAGCTACGGACATTCCCCTCTACCAGCAGCGGGGCCAACTCTGGATGGATAATTAGCTGCAGCACCTTGTTAGTATCCATGTTCGATAAGCCCATGCCGCCATTCAGCGAATCGAGTTGCTCCAACAGGTGTATCAAAGCGGGATGGATGTCGCTGCCATCGGGAAACGAAGGCCTGGCAGCAGAACCGGATCCAGGATTATCTGGACATGTGGTTGGGGGCTGCTCCGCCCCTTGGCTGGACGACTGGGGCGTTGAGGGATGTGGAGAAGATCCCTCAGGATCAACACGACTCTCACAGCCCACGCCACTAGACGAGGTTGGCAGTGTCTCCTGAGTTGCATCTTGAGGCGCGGAACTGCCATGTCTGACGAAGCGCGGGAGCGATGCAGGCACAATGTAGGCTATGTTAGGGCGCCTAGGACCACTGCCTGCGCGATGCTCTGCAGAGTTGGGGTTGCAGGGTGTGTTGCCAGCCCGGTGCCTTCCTAGCGCGAAACAGTCTGAAAACTCTCGTTCACAGTGTGCACACCGAACAGGACTAGAACGATCCATGGCAGCGCGACATTAGTCCGTCGTTCCTTTGCCTCTGCATATCGCCGTGGCGTTTAAATACGCACCCGCTACAAAGAGTCGATGAATAGCGAGAAGGCCATTCAGTATAAGGTAGCGGATGGACATCGTGACGGGGAATAACGCTACAGTGCGAGCTAGCTAGAGGCGCGACAGCCATGTGATTACGACGAGTCGCTGACGGCGCGACCTTGGGGCACGATATGAGATGCAATACACGAATCGCGATGAGGCGGATCGGGAACCTTGATGAAATTAGGTTTGCAGCCTTCAGGATAGGGTTGGTGTGTGCGTGCAGTGCCTGATTCCCTGTGCCTCATACCACGACTTCAAACTTTCGGAAGTCAAATGCAATGCTATTCACGTTTTAGACACAACACTGTATACGAGCCCTGGTGTGCACATAAGTGATAAGACGTATGCATAACAAAATGTGCCATTTATAGAATTGAACAAAAATATTAACTGAACCTACGATCAAGAAATTTGTAACCATGGTTTCATTTAACCGAACCTACTGACTACTGACTATTGGACTAATATCGTCTAGGATAGGAAATCAGGCCTTGCCCCATACGACGGCCTGAATCGCAGTAAAATCCGGCGTTTTATGTCATCTTCCAAACAACCAACCTAGAGTGCTCCGAGTAGATGAAAATTGGATGGAAGGTCCACAGCACTACTTAGAGTCATCACACAAAGAATCAGCTCAATCCAATCTTTGGCTGGTAGGTAATCATGCCTTGCCCCATAAGGCAGCGGAAATCGCATAAAAATCAACTAAACTAGCTCATCTTCCAAACAACCAACCTAGAGTGCTCCGCAGGACCTGAAAATTGGATGGAAGGTCCACAGCACTACTTAGAGTCACCACACAAAGAATCAGCTCAATCCAATATGTGGCCGGCAGGTAATCGTGCCTTGCCCCAAAAGGCAGCGGAAATCGCATAAAAATCAACTAAACTAGCTCATCTTCCAAACAACCAACCTAGAGTGCTCCGCAGGAGCTGAAATGGGGACACCGGTCCACAGCACTACTTAGAGTCACCACACAAAGAATCAGCTCGATCCAATATGTGGCCGGCAGGTAATCATGCCTTGCCCCATAAGGCAGCGGAAATCGCAGCAAAATCAGCTAAACTAGCTCATCTTCCAAACAACCAACCTAGGGTTATCCGCAGGAGCTGAGAATGGGATGGGAGGTTCATAGAACTAACTAGAGTCACCATACAAAGAATCAGCTCAATCCAATCTTTGGCTGGTAGGTAATCGTGCCTTGCCCCAAAAGGCAGCGGAAATCGCATAAAAATCAACTAAACTAGCTCATCTTCCAAACAACCAACCTAGAGTGCTCCGCAGGAGCTGAAAATGGGGACACCGGTCCACAGCACTACTTAGAGTCACCACACAAAGAATCAGCTCGATCCAATATGTGGCCGGCAGGTAATCATGGCTTGCCCCATAAGGCAGCGGAAATCGCAGCCATCTCAGCTATACTAGCTCATCTTCCAAACAACCATTCTAGAATGTTCCGCAGCAGCTGAAAATGGGGTGAAAGGTCCACAGTACTACTTTAGAGTCACCACACAAAGAATCAGGTCAATCCAATATTTGGCGGGTAGGTAATCGTGCCTTGCCCCAAAAGGCAACGGAAAACGCAGTGAAATCAATTAAACTAACTTATTTTCCAAACAACCAACCTAGGATGCTCCGCAGGAGCTGAGAATGGAACGGGAGGTTCATAGCACCAACTAGAGTCAACACACAAATAATTAGCTCAATCCAATATGTGGCGGGCAGGTAGCCATGCCTTGCCCCATAAGGCAGCAGAAATCTCAGCAAAATCAGTTGAACTAGCTCATCTTCCAAACAACCATTCTAGAATGTTCCGCAGGAGCTGAGATTGAGATGGGAGGTTCATAGAACTAACTATCTCCACCACACAAAGAATAAGCTCAATCCAAAATGCCTACGCTATCAATCGACGCATTTCCCCACAGGCCTGCGCAGAACTTGTACAGAGCAGCCTTAGGCAGCACGTTTGTCGAACGACCAACCAAACGTGCTCCGGCGAGGCCCATTTTGGGATGGGAGGCTCCTGATAATATTAGTAACATCCTCCTAGGAGTTCAGCCCAATCCAAAATGTATATGCTATCAATCGACGCTTTTCCCCATAGGCCTGCCCATAACTTGTACATATCAGCCTTAGGCTAGCATGTTTGTCAAACGACCAACCAAAAGTGCTCTGGCGAGGCCCATTTTGGGATGGGAGGCTCCTGATACTAATAGGAACTTTAATACTAGGATGCTTAGAGAGTTTAGGCTTTATGCTGAATCTAGTCAACAACAAGATTCCTCGCCCCAAGAGCTTCCACAATATCATTTCAACTTGCTAGACTCTATGTAGCATGTAAATGGATGAACGGTTGCTCCTTGATGAGAATCACCTGTTGGGACGTGATTGGCATATTGGGAACCCTGTCAATTACAATCAAAACTCGCAAGTATTCAACAGATACAAAAGTGCACTGTTATGTAAGATCTTGTGCATGCAAATATAGCAGGTGTACTATCAAATTCGGATGGGTCCCGAACTGTCTAAGAGAACCCGTTGAAATGCTGCTAGTGGCCATTGTGCAGAGCCGAATCAGAATCAGAGCAGATTCTGGCTGCAATTTTTGGATCGCTAGGCACGGGGTTATGTCTGTTGGTCGTATCGAGGCCTTTGACATCTGGTTGCCTTTGTGTTTGTCAGAACATTATATAGCTTATGCTGTTGTGTAGGCTATAGTGGGGTATCCCATAGGGGGTACAACCCAATTAGGGTTTTCTATATGTACTCACCTCATTCATAGTTCATCCATCCTCGTTCTTCATTCTTCTCATGGTATCGAGCAGGTTCCCTCGTGGGAACTGTTCCTAGGGCCCACCGTTTTTTTTTCCTGCCCGGAGCGCACTCTGCCCCTACCCGAGTCGCGCTCCCCTCTCTCTTGGCCCCTAGTGGCCCCTTTAGCCGCCCGTCACGGCCCTTAGACGCCCGCGCGCCGCCCGTCCCGGCCCCTTAGACGCCCGCGCGCCGCCCGTCCCGGCCCCTAGACGCCCGTGCGCCACCCGGCCCGGCCCCTAGACGCCCGCGCGCCGCCCGTCCCGGCCCCTAGACGCCCGCGCGCCGCCCGTCCCGGCCCCTAGACGCCCGCGCGCCGCCCGTCCCGGCCCCTGGACGCCCGCGCGCCGCCCGTCCCGGCCCCTCGACGCCCACGCACCGCCCGTCCCGGCCCCTAGACGCCCGCGCGCCACCCGGCCCGACCCCCAGACGCCCGCGCGTCGCCCGTCCCGGCCCCTCGACGCCCGCGCGCCGCCCGTCCCGGCCCCTCGACGCCCGTGCGCCGTCCGTCCCGGCCCCACGCCGCCCGTGAGCCGCCCGTCCCGGCCGCGCACCGCAGTCCCGGCCCCACGCCGCCCGTGCGCCGCCCGTCCCAGCCGCGCGCCGCCGTCTCGGTCCCCACGCCGCCTGTGCCGCTGAGGAGCTGAGCTGCCCGAGCCGCCCGAGCCGCCCGCACCGCCCGAGCAGCCCGAGCCGTGCTGCCCCTCAGCAGCACAACCGAGCCGCCCGACAGCAGAGCAGCCGAGCCGCCCAGCAGCCGAGCCGCCTAGCAGCCGAGCCGCTCAACAGCCGAGCCGCCCAGCAGCCGAGCCGCCCAGCAGCCGTGCCGCCCAGCAGCGGAGCCGCCGAGCCGCCGAGCCGCCCGGCAGCCGAGCCGCCGAGCCGCCGCGCCGCCCTCCTTCCGGGCCGCCCGACCTGTCCAGTCTGGTGAGCACAGCGCCCTTTCACTGCACTGCCCTCACCCTACTGTTTGCGCTGCCAGTCGTCTAGGGTCATGGCTACCCTTAGTGTTCTAGTCTTTGACGCTGAGGGTCGGGCCATTGACTTTGAGGTCTGGGTGGATGACCTGCAGCTGTTCTTACAGTGCGATAGGGCAGATGGTCTCTCTCTCTTTGACCTCACCTCTGGCGCCTCCACTGCCCCTGCTGCTGACGCCGACGCCACTGTTCGCTCCCAGTGGGCCACGCGCGACGCTGCTGCACGTCTTGCTGTGCGTCGCCACCTCCCTACCTCCGAGCGTGCACACTTTAGTCAGTACAAGAGTGCTCAGACCTTGT